ATTGATCCTCGAGACTAACGACCATAAGCTTACTTCACATGTGTAAAAATCCCACACTGAACTTCAAGACACTAAGGAACATACTTAATTTTAAGGACATAACATAAGAACCCTTCTCCAAGGAAACTCCCAAGTTACACATAGTGCAATGTCAGAGTAGCATCTCATACTACTACTCCAACAAAGTTGTCCTTGAAGATTCCCATAGATAGGCACACCACATTCATCATTCATAAACTTCATCATACAAGACATAACCTTAACATTCTTTCTTATAATTAGACATTAAGTCACATAACTTCATTTACATTGCATAATTACCCATTTATTCATTCATATAAAGATACACCAAGAGTCCCTTCAAATGCCTACTTGTGAAATGGATAGATAGTATCTCATACCACCTACCCAAAGTAATATACCCTTTAGAAGACTTAGTTCATTACATACTTTAGTCGTGGCTAGATTTAACCGACATAGACCATGAGATATAGACTTGGAATCCCAGTATTAACCCCTACGAGATGAGGGTTCCCCACTTGCCTAGGGTAGGGTCATTCTTGAGATTTTACAAGGATTCTCCAAAAGCTACTCCTATGTGAACGCATAGTTAAGGGATAAGTAGATTGTTTCTAAGTAACTCATTCTCTACTAACGAGGAGTACTCATCTCAAGAGGTACATTGAGTACAACATCTCAACTCACTATGTGTAACCATTCCTTCTTCAAATCCTCTCGGTGCTAAGATCTCTTCCCCAAAGACTCTTAAACATTCATAACTAATGGTTAAGGGATAACTAATGGACACCATATCTCAACTCACGAAGAGTGTCCATCCACTAACCTATCTTATAAAGCTCTTTGGGAATAATGAGGTTGATACGGAACACTTCACCTCAACTCACGAAGAGTGTCCACTCCAAAACTACCCTTCTTCTTACCATAGAATTGTAAGGAAGGTCTAGACACTTCATCTCTTCTCACAACGAGTGTTGTCACGATAAGATTCTAGACCAAGAAGAGAACGACGTTGTTGACCTCTTAGAGGTCGCAGACATGACTACATACGTCATCGTTACATTATCTTGGTTAATTTTAGCGGAAACTTTGAACTTTTTGTTACTTAAAATTCATTTAAGACATTGTACTTTAATAAACATTCACAATCAACCATTTAATTTCTTGATGAACTTTATATTTTGTTGTTCTGTTATTTTAGAGAAAAATCAAAGTTCAAGTGAGATGAGAGTACAGAGAAACATGAATTTCAGTTCATTGTGATTAGGAGACTTAGGTGGAGACTTAGTCAAACTAGAACTCCTCATTATTCATTAATATTATTATTATTATTATTATCTTCTTTATTTAAAAATCTGATTTTCCTTCTATTAAAACTTATATTTAAATATTACTTAAATTAATTAATTCACAAAATAAAATAAATTAATTAAATCATTGCTCCCACATAGGTTCGAACCCGGGTTGAGCAATATTTCACTAAAAGACCAATTTCGGCCCTTTCTCCCAAAAATGCACCTTTACCATATTAATTAAATATTTAGGGTAATTATGATACTACTCTTAGCTTGTAAAAAGGCCATTTTACCCCTATACCCTCCAAACATAAGATTTTCCTGTTTTAAGCCCTGGTAAAGACTTATCCGAATAAATCTTTATCTTCAGGTGCTCTACATGGCTGAACCCAACCTTTCCTAGCTCAACTAACTCACCAAGTTAATTCGCTTGGCTTTTGCAGCGGTTCAGAGGTCTGGTTCTACGCGCATCAATCTGTGTGAACCCGATCTAATCTAGGAATTCTAGATACGTTATATATTACTTAGGATATTCATTTTCAGGGTTGTTACATTATCCTCCCCCCCCCCTAGGAACACTCATCCCCGAATGATACTACACCTCCTTTTAAAATAAAGAGGGTGACTTAAAAAAATATATTAACATACTTGAGACTTTACTCTTTATGAATTTCAGTTTCACAGTTACTCTTGATAGTGCATATTACTCAAGCTTATCCAAAACTTCATATTTGAGATTTACGAACTTCTTTCTTAATTGTACTTAACTTGATGCACCTCACAACTCATGCAACACAAAAATCATGTCCACGCTATAGAAAAACAGTAACATGACATGCAAACATCAATTCATTTTAACTCACATAGTGCAATTATTACTCATACGATTATGGACTTACAACACCAAGTCGACTATTGCACTAAAATTAAGAGTTTCTTAAACAAATCCAGCCTTAGCAGGAACATATCTAACCCCTTATATAACATCTTGTTGTCCTTAACATTTGAAATTATATGGCTTTGTTGGATTTATCCACGCCCTGCCCATTTATACCCTATCTCATTTTGCAATTGAAACCTCACTACCCTGGGTTGATAGTCTATGGTATCATAACACTTATGGAGAAAATTCATACCTAAGTTATCCATTGCTTTTTATTGGTGAATGTATGATTTATATATTAGTAGGTTGGTGCGGATCTTTGAAACCTGCTAGCAGCTTCGCATTAATAGACTAAGGAACTCCTTCCTAAATTAGTCTCATCAAAGTATACAACATAAACAAACATATAAATCACCTAGGTTAGCAACCAACATGATGACTCAAACATATTAACTTCATTCTAGTGCATAAAATCATACACATGAAAAACTAATTTAGGCTACATAGACGAAACATCACCAGAGGTGTCTTACCGTACACCCCTATACTTGAGTGCAAATAATAAATTACCTCCTTGGAGCCTCTTCACTTGGACCATTTGGCTGAACTTTTTCCTTCCCTTTTTTCTCAATATTGCTTAGTTTTTTTGGGATCACCTCATAGTATGAATTTGTTGAACTTGCTTTGTAATATGAGTTGCACTATATAGAAAAAAAATCATATGCCTTATATATAGTAGATATAAGATATATTTTTCAAGTCTAGAACGGGTGGAGAGGGAGCAGTAACTTGTGAGAGTCTTTTCTGCTAACTGTTACTACCAATAACAGAATAGAAGTAGAAGATTTGTTTTTGTAGTATGGACAACTTGTTGAGTTTTGTATATTGTTGAAAGTGAGGCTTTCTTTATCTTAGTTTTAGAAGAATTAGGAGAAGTTAGTGCAAACAAAATGGAAAGAAAGTTTTGTATGATGCTAAAGTCTATCCTATTTAATGAATAGATGCAACAGATGAGAAAATAGCTTGTAACTTTCAAATTTCATTACATGTCAAGTTCTTCTATATATTATAGTAGTAAATAGAATTGTAAAGACAGTCTATTGTTAAGTGATTTTTTCCTCACTGAATTTATGTTTCTACTTCCTATCGACTTCAATGGTTTTGTCATGCTCCATAAAGTGGTCTTTCTTTTGAGCTTCAGGGGAAGAGACCTATGGTGGTATACACCAACACTTTTTCTGTGTGACTTCAGTTGATCGGATGCCTTTATTTTTAGTCTATTACAAACTGTGGATATTCCAGTTCGTAGTGAACACGAATAAGCCTACTGAACAGCTTAAAATACATTTATTATTTTTTAATTTTTGAAGAATAAATATGTTGTAATTTGTACGCTTTAAAGTTTGAAACCTGTGATCATATCTGTAAGACTAGAGTCTATTCATCTTCGGGATGAAACTAAATAAAAAATAGTTTTAACATATAAGAATATACATCAGAAAATAATATTGTACTCTTCTTTATATTCCTAATCATAGAGAATCTTCTCACTTTTTAACTATGTTTATCGGACTCTCCAAATATGTTATCACACCCATGTATATTCTGAAAAGTGAACTAGATATCAGACTCTCCAAATTTGAGTTTCACTAGCTAAGTCTACGTTGTCCGAAAAAGTTAACTAAAAATCATCTTTTAAGACTGCATATTCTGCTATCTCCTGTTGTTTTGTTCCACTTTTTTATGAGAAATTTGGGGTTGTTCTTTACACTTTTTCTCCTTACGATTTTCTTGTTGAATAGTGAATTCAAAAGCTCTAATTAGATGATTCATGCTATGTTACTTACCTAGTTCTTATTGGATATCTGTTTTATAGTTTGAAGGTTGATCCACACAAATCTTACTTGCGACTTGTACCACTCCCATGGATCAGATGAATTGATTGAAAAAATATAATGAAATATGACTTGACAAGTGTAGCATGTGCTAATGAGATAATCATCTCATTTTGATATAGTGAGGTCAGTTTATTCTCCATGACTTTTTATGTAAACATGAATATATAACTTCTTGAATGTCTTTAATTTATAGGACACATAGTAGAAATAAGGTGTTAAAACTAGCATCTCTCACTTTTAGGACATGAAGTAACTCATCAAGTATGTAAAAGAATACAGAATGAAAATAAGTGATAGATACAACATTTAATATTATCCATTTCCTTTATCAAATTATGTGAAAGTTTCTGCTTTGTCACGATATATGTTGGATATGATATCCATTTCCTTTATACAGTCAATGGCATAGTGACAAAATTTGCTATAGAAAATGCGACGAAGACCAGGATAGTAATTGAAGATAGAAAGATACATATATTGGGATCATTTTTGAACATTAAGATTCCTAGAGATTCACTTTGTAGTCTCATTATGGGGTCTTCCGCTTGTTAGGTTTATTACAAGGTCAGAGTTGTTATTGCTGAGTCGAGATGCTTTGATTTTTCTTCTTTTATTTATAGGATCTTTAAGTATCAAAGTTTGATTTTGTTTGAAATTATTAGATCTTGAGATTTTGACAAAGCTCTGTCTTTTTCAAAAGATGAATACTTTAAGTATGGAGTGATTATATGTGTACTAGGCGATGACAATATAATTTTGGTTTCATAGTTATATCTTTGTGTTATCTTATATATGCTAATGTTATATAATTATTCGTACTTCTTGTGTGGTTTATTAGACTATAATATGATTATATCAATAATATTAGTTTAGGTTGCCAATGCACATTATGGTTTGAAGACTTGATTTTACTTTTGATAACAGACTTAAACTTTTTGATTGCTTAACTACTCATCTCAGAACAAATTACAATAGTTTGAGACCATTTTGTTGGTGTCTATAATTTTCAGAATTATTGTGTAGATTGTTCTGGTCTATGTTTCTTCCCTACTGTACATTCCAGATATGCTCATAAGAGTCTGTGTTTCTTCCCACTTTATATGACAGATATCCTCATAACACAACATATCTGCATAGACATATTTTTTTGTGAAGTAAGAAGGATATCATTAATAAAGCATCAAGCAGATGCACAGATTACAAAAGAATGATTTTTCTGTGTCAAGCAAACATTTAACAACAGTGATGATAAATTCTAGGTAAGAATCCACACTAAATACGGAAGAGAGATAAACAGAACAAAAAGAGCAATCAAACATCCTACTTTAATGGTAATCAAACTGAAACAAATTTTTCTGTGTCGAGCAAGAGTATTTTAGAATAATCCAACTGAAACAAATAAATTTAGGTGTCAACTTAGTTCTCAAGATTAATTTCCATGGACATTGATTTGTTAAGGTCTTCTTATAGTTTTTTTGAAGGTAGCAACTATGTTCCCTGTTTCTCACCAAATTCATTAAAGATACTTCTAATGTACTAATTACCTACTGATAAGATAAAATATATGTATATAATCAAATTAATCATAAGATAATCATAAATTTATCTGTTAGATTAAAAAAAACACATGTGGCGCGTAACCATCTTTGAGAAGATTGTTTGATGATTTGACATCGCTGTGATTAACAGGCCTTCGACATTCAATTTGTTGGCAATTCATATCTTCTGTGATTCCAATGACTATTCTGAATCTTTTTTCTCTTGTTACTATTGATTTACAGTAAGCTTACCATGTATGTTTTCTTTGAATTTTATTTATTTACTTTCTTTCTTAATTGTGTCTATCCTATTAATTTTTTTTATTTTTCCTTAGAAGTATCATCAGTATTTAAACACATTTGTGGAGGATTCAAGGATTGATTTGGCATAGCTAAAGTGTCATGACTAGGTAAGAAACTTTTATAATCTTATAACACATAACTCTATAACTTACGCGTGACTTTTAAAGCTTACTAGTTTCTGACAACGTGCATTACACGTTTATTTTTTACTATTTTTACATAATTTAAAATTTTGCTATCAAATGGAAAAATTTTAAATCAGCAATATTAATTTTACCAATTATATTTCATGTATCAACAAAAATAAATAAAAAGGGATTGTGCAATTGGCATCAAATCATCGATATTTTGATTAAGAATTAATTTAAGGAAATGCGAATGTCATCTATGTTTTATTAAAATGATACAATTTTACATTTAAATTAACTAATTAAATTCGTTTATAACATATTATTTGTGAAGTATTTAACGATTGTTATTCAAAGATTAAATATTGGTATCTTCTTCTAGGAATTAACATATCACATCCAAGGATTGGATGGATTTACCAAGGTGTAGGAAAGAGTATATTGATGACGTTGAATCATTTCTAAATTTTTCTTACTCTTATAGTGATCCTCAAGCAAAGGAAATTTAGTGTCCATATGTAAAATGTTGTAATATTCGTTGGACTCGAATGAATGTAGTGTATGATCATCTTATATGCTATGGATTCGTTAAAGGCTATACTAGATTGATAAATCACGGGGAATGGGATATCAAGTTGAATGTTTAAGATAATATGGATTACTCGCATGATGATATTGATGGGTTGTCGAATGATCAATTTAGAGATGTTGCACAGGCTGAAGGAGTGTATGATGCTCCTAATGAAGATGCCAAAAAATTCTATAAATTGGTTGAAGAGGCAAATCAAGAATTATATCCTGGTTGTACTGGATTCTCTACATTATCATTCACACTTCGTTTATATTTGTTGAAGTGTTTGTATAGATGGAGTAATGAATCATTCACTTCTCTTTTAGAGTAATTAAAAGAGGTGATGCCCGAGCTGTAAGAGCAAAAAATCATTCACATTCTTCACGATCAGCTCATGATTCGGTTCTTCAAAAGAAATTTTGTATTTCACATTTTCAGTTAATAATCTGAAGTTATTTTACTATATTGAATCTTTGAAAGTTGAGTCTATATTTTGTTTTTGTCACTTATTGTGTCCTTTTAGATTATATACCTAATTTTGGATTGTAGTTTTGTACTTTTTCCACTGTTGTTTACTGTTTTAAACTGTAATGGTTGTTGCGAGATATGGTTTTAATTTTGAGATAGTTTTGTTGTATTATCGTGAATGAATTTGTTGTCACTTGTGCTAGTTAAGCTCTGTTGTTCTGTGGTTTCAGTTTCATCTTGTTGATGTTGGTGCTTGTTGTTGCTGGTTCTTATTGTCTTCTTTAAATTGCTTCTCTCAATTTTTTGCCTTGTTTACCTTTTGATTTGTTGCTGGAAGGAGTCTTAGCAGCTGTCAGTGAATGAAAATCCTGTAAGCTTATAATTTAGAGTTTTTGTATGTCCATGCTATGTTGAACTGTCATATAAGCTTGGGTCATAAATGGTCTTGTTTGAAACGATAAACTTCATTTTGCAGCATTTCAAACACAAGATTAGTGTGCTCGTAGTTCTTATGATGAAATTCTTGAGAGCTATGTTGTTTGCTTGTATTATATAGCCTTAGTTTGTCATAAAGGCTTGCATGCTTGCACAGCAGTTCCACTTTTATCCAAGTACCGATCGGGCTTATACCATGTGAAATATCTAGAGCTATACGTTAATTGTTTTCATTGTAGCTTTGATGATTATATGTCTGTGGCTTTAGTTATCTTGATTTCTATCATTGGTGATACTCAATTGCTCTTCTTGTAAAGGAAATGTAGAGATAGATTCTTATGTCACCGTTATCCTTTCGTAACATCTATAAATTTTCATGGTATTATGTTTGACATTCATTTGCCTAAATTCAGTTGTAAATTTAAATACAGGAAGGGAACTTACCTTGATATATCTTCTATCCAGGGTATCCTTTATTAATGTGACATAGAGAATTCTCCAACCAGAATTTTTGTTCTTTCACGGGGAGTTTCTTATGATTCTTGATGGTCTAAGTTTGGGTTTGTGAACTTTCAAGCTAATTTACTACTAAAGCTATCTGTTTTTTGCTTTAACAGTATTTAAAATGTAGTTTTTTCATATAGGTTCATGACATCAACCTTATAGTACTTCTCATCTTTTGATGCACTCTTATTGTAACCTTTATTAGAAAAAATAGTTACATTCTGTCATCTTTGAGTGTAGTAATGTTGCAAGAGATGTTCTTGATAACTTGGATTGAGTTACTACTCTTAATTTGAGTGTATTTGCCAATCTTGCAAAACTTGTTAAGCTTTTATGTCTAACAATTCAATTGTTGTGATAATGCCCAACTTGTTAAACATGTAAAAAATCTGTATTGCATTTGCAGGTTTCTAAAATTGTTGGAAAAATGCCTAACTTGTTAAACTTGTAAAGGCTTTTTTGTTTGTACTAAAACTTGTTTGTCTACAGTATTTGCAGGTTTGTAAAATAATATTTGCCTTGTTCCCCTTTGTTTTTATTCTTCCTATAAGCCTCCATGTCTTTGCTCAATATCAAATTGTGAATGTCAGCTCCCAGTTACTACTTAGGCAGGAACTGGGAGCGCTAGTCTCTTGAGGTCTTTTTTTTATGTACAAAATTGGAAAATTTCAGTAAACATGCAGATTCTTTATGTACATGCTTAGTTAATTAACCAGGATTAACAAGACAAACAAGAGTTTGAACTTCTTCAATCTCTTCTTCTTTCTGTCTCCGACAGCTGCAGTGTTGTTCTTTTTTAGCTTCTTTTCATCCTGTGCATTATGTTCTGCATGAGATTTCTCGGCAATGCGAGTTTTTTCAGCTGCTGGCCTTTTCTCAGCAGGCTTTTTCCCAGCTTTTCGTACAATCGTGGGAAGAGAAAGGGAAATATTACAAATGCTCTGAATGGAATTTGAGATGATGTGTATCTGTTATATCTTTGTGTTTACAATTCATGCAGTAATCCATAATTCACGTGATTATAAATGTTCAATATGATTTGCGTATATATATATTGATTTGGATTGGTTGGCTTACAATGAATACTCTCCAATTATGCACTTTCACCTTTATTTCACTTACTTATAAATTTATTTTCAATGTGCAGGAAAATGTTGGTAATTGAATTTAAATTGTGGAAGAAGTAAACTCGATCTTTTTTTGTAGTGAACGATAAAGACTTTTTGTACTATTCTCATATAGGTTAGTATGCATTTGGTATTTTGGAATTTATTGATATTAGAGATCTTTAAGCAATTACTTTCTAAGTTTCGGAGTTTTTGAACATCATTCTTGAAGTTTATTTGAAATATATAGCCTTGATTTAATTCTGTGATCATATATTGAATATTTTCAATTCAATAGTGTTGCTCTAGATGAGATATAAAGTTACACTTTTTAAGTGTTCTATATGAGATATAAAGTTAAACTTTATAAGTGTTGCTCTAGATTAGAAATAAAATTACACTTTATAAGTGATGCGCAAGATGAGATATAAAGTTTCACTTTATTAGTGCTGCTCTAGATGAGATATAAAATTACACTTTAGAAGTGTTACTCTAGATGAGATATAAAATTACACTTTATAAGTGTTGCTATATATGAGATATAAAAGGCAACACTTTTGAAGTGTTGCGCTAGATGACCTATAAAAGGCAACACTTTTAATGTGTGACCAATAAAACCGCAAAGTCAACACTTTTAAGTGTAGTATAATAAAAAATAGGTGTTGCTAATGCATCACAACAAAGTTTGGCCTTATACTTCTTTGGCTACGCTTCATAAGTGTAGCCAAAAGTTGTGACATTTAATAAGTGTTGCCTAATGTCAAAGGTTACGCTTCTTTTGGCCACCCCCTAAAAAGTGTTGCCTAAAGTCCAAAAGTGTGGCCTTTTATCAAAGGCACCACTTTTTGCTAGTTTAGGCTACACTTTAGTGGGGTGGCCGTAGGCCTAATATGGTGTAGTGATTTTCTTCATTTCCCCCCTGACTTTTCACTTAAGACATTTCGAATCCCCCTTACCACATTTTATTATTTAATTTTATTATGAAATATATTTGGTGAGGTCTTGGGTTCAATCCCCACTGACCTCAAGCACTTAAAAAAATCATTTTAGAACGTGATTGATTATTTTTTTTACAT